AATCTTCGGCAGCAGAGCGAGAGTCGTGTCTGTTGTTGTGCCAGATATCCTCAGCCTCTTTTCTCTCCAAAAGCAAAATCTTAAACAAGAGCTCCTGTCAGGCCCTAAAAGCTCCATGCTGGTGTTAATCAAGACAATGTCCCTGATGGATAAAGACATCAGCTAGGGGAGCCTGTGGGGGGATGTTTTGCTGTATTTGATGAGAACGTCCTGTGGGAAGATGGAGCAGCATGCAGTGTTTGTATGAGAGGAGGGAGGGCAGGGGGGTTTCCTTCCATGTACTTCATCGTCACTGAAGAGGGAAGATTCACACACCTTTGGGAAAGAGTTCAACCGTTGTACCAGGGTACAACCAGCCCTGGCTGTACCCTGGCTGAGATTCAGCTCAGACTGCCTGGTTTATTCCTCGGTTGAACCCTTAAAGGAACACGTTTGACTTCAGTATTACAACCATGCATGTTGCTATAGAAACCCTGCTGTAGTACTAACTCCTCAGAAAGAATAGGATACAAGGTGCTGATTGAGTACGTCCGTCCATCATTCTGAAACTCCCAGGACTGAAGGGGAGCAGTTCTTCCACTTACTTCTGTGTCCATCCTAAAAATCCCTTTCAGTGGAAAACCCCCAGAGTGAGGCCTCCAGAAAGCATCCTGATCAGATGTTGGACATAACAGAGTAGAGTAAAAGCAGATCCACTCAAAGCTCCCCTTCAGAAGACTGAATGCCTCAGCCCAGTCAGGAAGCTCAACCCTCAACATCTCCTTCTTTACTGGTTTAAGGGTCAAAATGTGGATACTGAGCTTGTAATGCCAGAGCTCTGCTTTTGGCTCAGCTGTTTCCTCATCACAACAGAGCATTTAATCCATCTAGACATCACAACACATAAAGATACCTGAGCTCCTTCCCATGAGGAGCAGCTCACTCAAAAAAACGTAATTGGTGAAATAATGTGTTGTGGCAGCGTTCCGGGACACGAGTCGGCCGCTTTGGATTGAAGAGAATCGTTGTGGTGAGTTAGTGGAAGATGACGTCTTTGATCTCTAACTGGTAGAAACAGGACTTGAGAAGAGTTGCAGCCAGATGGCAGCTATTGTGAATGATAGAACAGGATACAGCTGCACTACTGCCAGTGTTGCATTTAAATGCAATCGAATTAGTACTTTGAGTTATCTTCATGTTTTGGAGAACTTTACAGTACAATTTTATATTTGATTTACTGTAACTCTACAAAGTGACCATAGGAGCTAGCCTTACATTATTCTCTACATGTTCCTTTACAGGAGAAGTCCGCTCATATTCAGAATTCAAACTTCTGAAAGTACTTTAAAATATAAAATTATTACATCCTGTTCAATAAATGATCAGTGTTTTTAAATAAGAGTAATTTTCGTTTGTATGTGCTTCACTGGAGGCATCCATGTTTGTCAAAGAACACTACTGCCACCTACTGGTTAGTGACGTCACGGTGCGGTATCGGCTGTTGATCAAGTCCCAGTGCTGTATCTGGTGTTTGTCACAACGCGCTATTATCCAAGTCATCTTGAAAACATTCTTCTTCCAAATGTTGGCTACATATTACGGGTTTTTTCTCTGGCCAGAAGTTCGATGGCAAATCCTCCCTCTTCAAGTTGGCGATCCAACGACCAACCCGTCCGTGGAGGATCAGGAATCAGAAAGGTGGAACAACTTTTTTTTTTCACTTTTCATTTTTACCCGATGTATTCCAGCATCCAGCTGCCATGCACGTGGGCATTGTCAGTTTCACTATAGCTCTGGTGAATTTCAATGGTGAAGTTCTCTGGAAATCTTCAATAAATGTTGTTGATTGCAGATGTGTCTAGTAGTTCCCATTGATTTAGCTCGTAATCAGGTACTGATTAACGCTAAATTCATTAAATCGCCGTGAACGTACTAGTTTTAGGTATAAATAATGATCCACTGATTATTCCTGGCTGACCGGACTTTTCCTTTAATAAATAAGGAACTCTGTGTCTCTGTCAGTTCATTCAGGACAGACCTCAGTTGATCACACCAGATGTTGACTCACTCTAGGCTTGGGCTACGTTTATTTTTGTTTAAAGGAGACTCTTTTCTGTCCACTGTTGCCACATGCATGCTCAGTATGAATGACTCGATGGAGCTGATGGTCCAGTGGCACTACATGCTGCTGTATGTCTTCAGCATCTTTCATAATCAACCTAATTTTTCTGAGATTAGAACTAGAATATCGTCATGACAAAAAAATTATACCTTGTTATTCTTTTCCTTAGTATTAATATACCTTTAGAACAACAATGAAAGAACATGTGTAGAACTGTCTTTAAGTGTGTGGTTATGAGTGGACGAGGCTGACTATAAGCAGTATTTCTATAATGTTACTTTCACACTGGGAGCGATTTGAGCAGCAGATGCAGCCGGTTTACTGTACATGCAAGTTGTGGTACATCTTGTTGCAGCAAAAGGTCCTGCAACACATCTCAAGCAGCAGGAGCGGACATTTTGACATATCTGAGCATCTGTTGAGCATGACGCGCTTCCCAAGCAGCAGCTGCTGGAGTTGTGTCAGAGGCATCAGACACATCTGGACACACGATCTGACCCTAATGTCGACAAGCATAAAAAATGAAGCAGCAGACGCTTTTTTGCTGCTGAAATCGAGTTTGTTGAGAACGTAGCATTAATGAGGTGCCTTTAACTGTCATGCAGTGTTTTGGGTGACATCTGTTTCAACGAGCTGACATCATGGAAAATCAACCTTTGAACGTTAAACTATGTCATAACGCTAAAAATGCATAAAGAGCTATTTTGTTAAATTCATGCATGTCCCTGAATAAATGAATTCTGCTCTCTCAGCAGCTCCATTCTACATAAAGCAGTGATTACCCAACCCATCCAGGAAGCACCTAGCTTGACTGTGTTGCGCCTGCTAACTAGACCCAGTTTCTGCGATTAGTGAGGGGCGAAGTCAGACAAAGCCTGGTCCTTCCTCCGTAAATGGAAATTGGGAAGGGGGCGTGATCGATACTAAATAAGTAGCGAATGTCGTGATTTTTTCATGGTTCTTCGAGATAATTGGAGTTTTTGTTTCCCAAAGATCGATAAATGGATGTTTGTGGATACAGTTGTGCTTTTTTTGCTGTTCAGACATTTACAACAGGCAAAACTGCGCTTCGGCCCAACTAAGGCTACGTTCACACTGCAGCCTGAAGTGACCCAATTCCGATTTTTTTGCCCAAATGTGACCTGTATCTGATCTTTTTATGACAGTCTGAACGACACAGATCGGATTTTTTCAAATGCGACCCAGGCCACTTGTATATGTGGTCCTGAATCCGATAC